ATGCTTTCCACGTATGATTATAACCCATGAACACAGTTCATATACACAGTCTATGTCCACGATGTACGCAACCATTCTGTACCATTCTGTACAGTCTAAGGTTGAAGGGATCGAGGAGCTGTATAAAACACTGCGCCTTCATCAGAGAGCTTAAATTAATCTTTGTGATTTGACTAACTCTTGACTCGGTCCCCATAGCGAAATGTTTATCAACCCCAAGCCTTTGAAGACCAGGTAATACACCTGTGTAATAATTCACCCACAAGTCACACACTCCAGCTGACTATATATGCATAACCTAGGAAGGCAGTCTGGAGGCGACGTGTTTAAACAAAAGGCAGGGTTTCCCATTTAGCCAGATCAGAACAGGGCTTATTCAACCCTCCGGTGGTGAACCCAGTATCGAATTCAGGCGTGAAAGGGCTGACGCTTGATGTTATTCACTGACACTTCAGGTCATATTTGAAGACATAGATTTGTTTCTGATGCATGCATCCTTCCAGTGTGAGTGAGTGTGGTTTTACGCTGCATTTACCAATATCAAGGCAGGGAACACCCGAAAACAGGCCATCCCACATTGTTACCATGTTGGAAATCGAACCGGGCCTGCATCGCTTTCAGCGAACGCTTTAACCACTTGGCTACTACGCCGCCCCCTTCTAACATTTGACGGGGGCACGGGTGGCCCAGTCGTCTAAGGCGCCGCGATTCGCTGTGCAGAGTTGCGTCCCTTGGACACGCCAGAAACCTATGATTCTGGTTTCGAATCCCGGTTCGCCCCGATTATGTTACTAGGTTTGTCAGCACCATACCCGTTCTCGCGGGTTTCACCGAAGTGGTAAACGTCTGAGACATGCATCACATGGGGCTTTCCTCCCACATTAAGCTGACGCGCTGTGATGTAACTGGAATAATGTTAAAAGCGGCGTTAAACCCAACTCACTCACTCACTTATTCTAACGTTTGACGGGAAGTCACGAGCAGTACGTTTTAATGTTACCTTTATGTTTCTTGGCATTCATAGTGCACAAGTCCTGCACGCATACTTTACTCGCAATCATCGTCCGCAAGATACAGTTTAGCACCAAATGTGAAGGCAATTTCAGTGAGCGAGTTGAACAGCGTACGAAATGATGTTTTTTACCGTTTTGGGTGTGGCGCACAAAAGGTTATGACTTCCGGAACAACTGTTTATAAATTATGTGTCATTGCTTAGCTCCGTGCAAATGTCGTCCGTGACGCGATCTTGTTTGCCTCATAATGTACGGATTGCACATCAATATATGAAATTGTTTGGGTCCTATTTATCATATTTAAACCTACTATTTGACACTTAGCGTTACTCTTGAAGGTCATAGATATAATTAATGGACATGTGATGTAAAGTCTTGTAAACTCTTGTACCACTGTAGGATGGTCATATCAGAACACAGACGCTTAGGAGTGAGTGAGTGAGTTGTGTTTAACGCCGCTTTTAACATTATTCCAGTCATATCACGGCGTGTCAGCTTAATGTGGGAGGGAAGCCCGAAGTGATGCAGGTCTCAGACGTTTACTACTTCGGTGAAACCCACGAGCACGGGTATGGTGCTGACAGACCTAGAAACATAATCGGGGCGAACCGGGATTCGAACCCACAATCATAGGTTTCTGGCGTGCCCAAGGGACGCACATCGAATCGCGGCGCCTTAGACGACTGGGCCACCCGTGCCCCCAGAAGCTTAGGACAGATCCAGGGCTTTATTAGGTCATGTCATTCCTGGTTTCCCTGTCTGACAAAAGTAAGTGTTTGACTAATGGATGGATACCAATTTAAACTGCCTGGCAAAAGGAGTATGCACCGTTGTTTGATGGTGGCATAAATTAAGCAAACAAGAAATGAGTATTCGATGGGCATGTATTTGATGTGGGTATCACAGGCGAGATCACATGCACCATGTCAATACGTATCTCTCAACAGGTGGATTGCACATGACGTCTCAAGGAACATGGGGGTGGCAGTTTCACAGTACGCAGTAATGAGTGAAGCAGGCATTATCTTGATCAGTTTGAGATGGTTCACAAATACCAGACAGTCTCAATGCCGATTATGACCACGGCGAGAAACAATGCACGCCCAGACTCGCCGTCTCATCGATATCGTCGAGCGCCTGATGACTTCATTCTGAATTCCTTGCCACTCGGCCCTCGGCGAGGCTTCCAACGATTCTGAAGAGGGTGCCTCCTGATCTGACGATATGGATGACCCCATGCGTGTTCCATGGGGTTCAAGTCAAATGAGCGAGCTGACCACGTAAAAAATCCGACATCATACCCAGCCAAGACCCCCTGGACGATCCTTGCAGTGTACAGTCTAAAGATTTCGTGCTGTAGAAGTGTTCCCCGTTGCTGTTGGGAGGGAATGGTTGCACGGCTGAGGAGCGTCATCCATATAGACGTGGGCGTTCAGGTTGCCACGGATGAAGACAAGTCCTGTCCGTTGGCTGCCAGAAATTTCCCACAACCCCCCCCCCCCTCCCCCCCCCCCCCCCCCCACACACACACACACAGCCACCATACGGATGCATTTCTTGAATGCAGCCTGGCGCACATCGTCCCCTCCTTGCGACGATAAACATGATCAATATTATGGAATAAGTAGAATCTGATTTCGTCAGTAAAGACACTCTCTGCCAGTCAAGCGTCTGCCAGCGTTGTAATGACCTTGCCCAGTACCGTCTTTGACGTTGATGTTCATTGGTCAAGGTCATTCCACGGAGGCTCGAATACCTCCGCAACAGAGACGTCGTTGTACAGTGCGTTGACAGGTGCGGCGTGCTAACGTTGTTGCTACATCTTCCATCGCTGTGACATGTTGCGCAAAATAAAGTACTTGTCATCCAGTGGCGTCGTCACGCTTTGTCCCTCTGATCTTGCCCTGTCCTGTGTACTTGCCGGTCTGTCGGTGAACAGTCTGACGATGTTTGTAATGTCAAAGCTTCTTGCAATCAGGTTTTTTCGGCAACCATTTACCTCGTTCCTACAGCCGCCCCCCCCCCCAATCTCTGTTGTGTAGTTAACATGGCATCTTTACTACTTTCTTGACACCTGTGATGTTTTGGAAACGATCCATTGCATTTTTTACCATTTATACGTGAAGCTGACAAAAAGGCATTTAGCCATTTTCTGACGGCTGCACGTGCATCTTCCAAGCCAAGGGTTTTTATATTGGACCTTAAGTCATAGTGTATCCGCGACTGTTTTCAACCAAGTAACATTTTATTTACGTAACGTTTTGTAACGTTTTATTAACGTAAAGTTTAGCAACGTTTTGTTTACGCAACGTTTAGTAATGTTTTGTTACGTTACGTTTAGTAACGTTTTATTTACGTAAAGTTTAGCAACGTTTCCTTTACGTAACGTTTAGATACGTTTTGTTTACGTAACGTTTAATAACGTCTTATTTACGTAACGTTTAGTAGCGTTTTATTTACTTAACGTTTAGTACCTTTATATTTACGAAACGTTTAGATACGTTTTGTTTACGTAACGTTTAGTGACGTCTTATTTACGTAACGTTTAGTAGCGTTTTATTTACTTGACGTTTAGTAACGTTTTGCTTTGTAGGGCAGTTAAGTTATTTACATGCCTTTTTGAACATGGCCAAATATCAAGCTCTCACGATATCAAAACATCTTATTTAAAAAAAAACTCCATTAAGTGTTTCATCTGGCTTTTTGTCCAACAAATAGACACGCGCGGGAAACGGTTTGCACCGCATATTAATGTTTCTGTGTATTTCCATCCAAATGGTATTTTTATCACAATATTTTTGTTTACAGAGCGACATACAGACATAAACAGAAATCAGTCATCTAATGATATACTAGTAGTTTGTAACTGCTACATAGCAATACTCTTGTGTCTTCCCTTTCAATCAGGTCATTTGCTTCTTTATATTATATGATACGGCACATTGTTTGCTTCACATGATGTGACAAAGTATAATATCACATACGACACATTATTTGTGTCATAAGATATGACACATTATTTTGTATCCTATGATACAACACATTATTTGTATCACATGAAACGACACATTATTTGTAATACTTACAAAACATCATTTGTATCATAAGATATGACACATTATTTTGTATCATATGATACAACACATTATTTGTATCACATGAAACGACACATTATTTGTAATACTTACAAAACATCATTTGTATCATAAGATATGACACATTATTTTGTATCATATGATACAACACATTACTTGTATCACATGAAACGACACATTATTTGTATCATATGAAACCACACGTTATTTGTATCATAAAATACAACACATTATTTATATCACACTATACAACACGTTATTTGTGTCATAAAATACAACAAATTATTTGCTACCGTCAGTATCTAGGTAGTGCTGATATAAATATGAAATCACTGTCTTGTGAAGATTCAAAAACATGCATGGAAGTTCGACAGGCATGAAAATAAATACGGGAGGTGCTTAACCTTTTCCCATGAATGTATTGTCGTAGATGCTGGAGAACGGCGTAAATCCCACTCTTGTGCAATACAAATTAGACAAACATTTGCCAGGAAATGCAATAGTCTATCGATCGGATTGGGGGAGAGATGCTTCAAAAGAAATATCTCCTTACGTGACAATTAGTTATCAACTAGATGATTGTCTAACGCCTATAACATATCAATAACGGATCCAATAAGAAAGATTCCGAAACGTGATGGTGCAATATTTCCAGAAATTCTATAATTTCGACCCTTCCCAAATGGAACAAATATGCCCGTGGCAGTAACTTAATTGGTCCGAGAATACGAATATGATATGTTAAATAGATTTCTTGAATGATTATTTTCTCGCGACGTAAACACAAGTACTCATCAGGAGACCCATATGGATGCTGTACTGTTAGGAACTGTTGTGAAGTGGTTGTTCTGTGTCCCAATTTGCCTCTTCTGTTTACCTAACTGTCATAACGATGATCGGTAATTAATGCTGTACCGTGACAAACTGTTGTGAGTTTGTAGTACTGTGCCCCACTTTGCCTCTTCTGTTTACCTGTTTGCCATAACGACTATCGGTAATTATTTTTCTGATCCACATTAAACGTGATTTAACCATTGCTATTTAGAGGTAACCGGATATCAGATGCTGGATGTGCGTTTTTCAATTATCATTCATTTGTATTTGGGATAACAAGTTGTTCTGCAATCAATGCCAATATAATACATTCGGGAATGAAACTGCTGTCGCAGGTCAGCCGAAATTGCCTAGGCAGAAGGCGACCTCTTAAACACCTAATGCAACAACAACAACAACAACAACTGCTGTCAACTAAAGAAATAAATTTGAGGAGAGCAAGAGGTAGAGATAGCCGAAAAAGTGGGAGAGGCCTCAGAGGAAGGCGAAAGGAATAGGAAGAGGCCGCAGAGGAAGAGGGAGAGGCAGTCGTATCGTAGAAGAGGAGGCGAAGAGGTAGAGGTCTCAAATAGATAGAGGAGGAAGAGGAGAGAAAGAGGGGAGGAAGAAGGGAGGAATTGACCGCAGAGGAAGAGGCGAAAGAGGGAGAGGGCGCAGGGGAAAGCAGAGGAAGAGAAGAGGTCGCAAAAAAGGAGGAGAGAAAGAGGGAGGGGCCTCCGAGGAAGAGGAGAGGAAGAAGGGAGGAATTGACCGCAGAGGAAGAGGCGAAAGAGGGAGAGGCCGCAGAGGAAAGCAGAGGAAGAGAAGAGGTCGCAGAGGAAGAGGAGAGAAAGAGGGAGGGGCCTCCGTGGAAGAGGAGAGGAAGAGGGAGAGGCCGCACCCCCACTTCTAGACTTCACGTGCTATCGTTTAACAAGCCCACTTCAAACTTATAGTGTTGTATTTGTGTGTGAATTCTCCGCACTAAGCAAAGCGCTGATCAATAATATATATATATATATGTTTAAGTGAGTTGTGCAAACACTACGCGTACTGAAGATAACAGTTATCTTTTGCCATTGTCTGCAACTGGGACTTAGATCAACAAATACATAAACACTTGGCCCAGACTGGTGAATAATTGCCTTGAAACACAAGGTCATTAACGGCCCGCACTGAACGTCTTGTGAGTTTGACGCTACATACCCACGCGGATGTGAAGTCCTCGTTCCCGTGGATAAACTAATCTCCTTGACAGTGTTTTATCCTGGAACATCTGCAGCTTATATGCATGTATCGCGCGCTGTTTGAGTCCTGAAGTGTATGTGCAGTCAGCACTTATTTGACCTGATGGTCGACACAACTGTACTCACTATGTACATTAAAGGTCATCCAGATTTTTCCATGAGGTGAGGTGAAATGTGGATTAAAGTCGCTTTCAAAATTATTGCTCTAATTTAGCGATAAATAGTACATGCACGTGTGCGTGCGTGCGTGCGTGTGGCTGCTTGTTATAGTCCGGGCTAATGCCGATCTTATAGTGCTAGCCCACTGAGATGCCATGCCGCAGTTTAACATGAATACCCACTAAGACACAGTATACTGACTCCGAGCCGACCAGTCCTTGTTTTAGCCCCTTAATGCCGAGCACTGTATGGTATGACGCGGGCGGGGGTCTCAGTCTTGAGAGGTTCGGGACAGTTTGTCAATAATTAAAGCAATTTTTTTTCATGGCGCTCGCCATTAAGGGGAAAAGAACGACTGGTCGGCTCTGAGAGTACTGTGTCTGAATGGGGTATTCATATGAAAACTGCGGCATGTTTCAGTGGGATTGTATTGTAAAACCGACAAAACTAGTACAATCACACACACACACACACACACACACACACGCACGCACGCACGCACGCACGCACGCACGCACGCACGCACACACACACACACACACACACACTCGCGCGCGCAGACACGTGGCTATATAAGTGCAATAATCTTGAACTCTTCGTTAAAACACTTTTCATCTCATCTGTAGTGACTGTCTAACCAGCCCACGCAGTCTCCATCACAAGCCAGGTATGTGTATACATTGAGTCACTCAAGTTGACTGTTTGATACGAGTAAGCACTATTGTATTCGATAACGTTAGTTTGTTGCGTTTGGACATTGGACAATGGACGTACACAGAGATATTTTTTTCTATAAATAATAAGCATCTCATTGTGGAATATATAAACACTAGTCTGATATTAGCACGTTACATGAAACAATAACATGTTTAGTACAGAAGGGTCATCTTACAGAGTGATGTCACATATCTGCACTGGACTTCTGTTGTTTACCGACTACAAGTGTCGCTTGTTTTGAACTTGGCGTACTGAGCAACATGTGATGAAAACACTCAAACTTGTTCGTAGATTTGTGCACAAATGTGTCGTGATAAAACGTGTTCATTCATTCATTCATTCATTCATTCATTCATTCATTCATTCATTCATTCATTCATGTGTGAGTGAGTGAGTGGTTCTCCCACTAAACTCTATGGCCTGAGTCACCTCTAACTTTAACATATTAAGCTGGCACGCCTCCAGAGCACAGATAGGGGCGGTCGGGTAGCCTAGTGGTTAAAGCGTTCGCTCGTCACGCCGAAGACCCGGGTTCGACTCCCGACATGGGTACAATGTGTGAAGCCCATTTCTGGTGTCCCCCGCCGTGATATTGCTGGAATATTGTTAAAGCGGCGTAAAACCAAACTCACTCACTCACCCAGAGCACTGATATACAATTCAAATCAGCGTTGATCTCAATCTTAACATACTTACGTATTTCTGACCACACAGAATCACAGAATATATCGGGACATTGTGAATGAAAACCAAATCAGCCGTGTCGTACTTCAGTAAACATAAATACAAGCTCTAGATGCAGGGAATACTGAATACTAGCTCTAGATATCCTGCTTCAATACACTGTACATCAGACTTGACTCAAGGCTATCATAGTCAGCTTTTTACAAGGAAATGGGAAAGAAATAGTAGGAGGCATTAAAGAACCACGGAGTTAGAACATAGGTAGGAACGAGTTGGCTTTCACGCCGCTTTTAGCAGTAATCCAGGAACACAACAGAGAGGTACTTCTTACATTGTACCCTTTTAGGAATCCGAACAATGGTCTTCGGCGTAACGAGCTTTAACCACTGGGCTACCCCACCGTACCATCCGCTTTATCAGAAACCAGTATTAAATACATAGACAAGTCATGTACACATTGTTTATTTACAGCTGCACATGATTTACCTGAAGGGAATATTTCTACAAATGAAGTGAAGGGGACAAAACATTTCAATAAGAGAAAGAAATGTTGATTTTTGAAGTGTAACTGATGAAAACAAGGTTGTTCCTTCTTAAACTCAAACAAATCTATTTTATTAATATAACAGATAGATATATTACTAAATGAATACGTTATAATTATATGCTATATTCAGCTTTGGACGTGTATAAGTATGATATTTTACGTGAGCTTTAAAAGGAATATTTTGCGGAAAGTAGTACATTAAATGTAGACTGTGTACAATAAGAGTCTGGATTCACAAGCACGATGCGGATAAGCAATTTTCTACAGTGTATACATCTACAGTAATGTATTGCTTGAAAGGTCCATGAACCGATTCTTTGCCTACTTTTCACTCGAAGTTGGGACCCGTGACGTTCCGGGGTAGAATAGGTCTTCAGCAACCCATGCTTGTCGTATAAGGCGACTATGCTTGTCGTAAGGGGCTACTAAAGGGATCGGGTGGTCAAGCTTGCTGACTTGGTTGATGCATGTCATCGTTTCCCAGTTGCATAAATCGATGCTCATGAAGTCAGTCACTGGATTGTCTGGTCCTGATTCGATTACTTACAGACCGCCGTCATATAGTTGGAAATTTGCTTAGTGCGGCGTTAAACAACAACAAAAACAAACAAACAAACAAACAAAAAGACAAACAAACAAACACAATATGAAGTTGGTCCGGCAATCACGCCTCACCATTGTGCCTGATTCGGACGGACAAAAACGTATTCACTGCACCATATTCATAGTCCTATACGGGACGAGTTCTCCGTTCAGTATACGTAGATTTTTCACAGCATATTGAAGCTGATATCATAAACAGAGACACGTGTAGGTGTGAGGTATGTTTATTTCAACGTTCATACAGGCCCGAGTTGTAGCAGAGCTGACAGCGCTGATTCTTGCTGTGCTACTCAAAGACAAATGTGTCGCAGTCGATCATAAACTCGTCAAACACGAACTTTACCATAGCATGGCCGCAGTTTGAGGCCACCTCCTTGTAAGTACCAAACCTGAGAACAGAAACAAGAGTGAGTGAGTTTAAAGTAACGCCGCTTTGAACAGTTATATCACGGCGTGTCATCTTGATGTGGGAGGAAAGCCCGAAGTGATGCAGGTCTCAGACGTTTACCACTTTGGTGAAACCCACAAGCACGGGCATGGTGCTGGTATGGGCAAACCGGGATTCGAACCCACGATAATAGGTTTCTGGCGTGCCCAAGGGACGCACATCTGCATAGCTTATTGTGGCGCCTTAGACGACTGGGCCACCCGTGCCTTCACAAGAACAAGACACTTTAGTAGTGATAAGTATTTTTGTTTCCAGCCTCAATGACATTTCCATGAGTTGCTACACAAAAGAAATATTTCTACTTCCGTATTGATTTAAATGAGTAAGTGAGTGACTGAGTGGGTTTGGTTTAACGCCGCTTTTAACATGTGGGAGGAAAGCCCGAAGTGATGCAGGTCTCAGACGTTTACCACTTCGGTGAAACCCACGAGCACGGGTATGGTGATGACAAACCTAGAAACATAATCGGGGCGAACCGGGATTCGAACCCACAATCATAGGTTTCTGGCGTGCCCAAAGGACGCAACTCTGCACAGCGAATCGCGGCGCGGAAGACGACTGGGCCACCCGTGCCCCCCAAAATGAGTAAGTGAGTGAATTTGGTTTAACGCCGTTTTGAACAGTATTAAGTTGTATCACTGAAAGACAGAAGTGATGCCGGTCTTACACGCTTTCCACCTTTGTGAAACCCGCGAACAAAATGCATGGTGTTGACAAACTTAGAAACATTATCAGGGCGAACCTGGATTCGAACTCCAGAACTCCGCACAAGGAATTCCAGCGCCTTAGACAACTGGGCCACCTTTGTTCCTGTATTAAAATTCAGATTTTATAACATTGTTCAAAGTGGCATACCCGGAGAATCTGAGGACGTTGTTGACACACTGTACCGCAACACCGCACGTGTCGACGTCGCCGACGACTTTGAGGCCTGTCTGTGGGTCATTCACGTACCCGATGCCTATTTTGTTGCAGGAGTCGCGGAGGCGGTCTAAAGAGGGATAGTGAGCGTGGAGAATAAATGAAGAATTAAGTGCATGAACAGTATACTCAGGGCAGATTAGACAGGCTTTGAACATGACAAGTGAATCCAGTTACACACTGCCACACATTATCACAGAACTGGGCTGGGATTTAATTTCGTAAAGGTTATTGTTTTTCGACACTTTCAAACCAATTTTTTAACTCATGTACACCACAATATTATTCATTAATAACCAAACCTTTCTCCAAATTAAATATTCTTGCCCCTTTCTCCAAGAGGATGAAAACAGCAGTTGTTGTTTTTTTGTTTTTGTGTGTGTGTGTGTGTGTGTGTGTGTGTGTGTGTGTGTGTGCGCGCGTGCATAATATTTTACGCCGCTTTATAAAAGCATATTCCAGCACTATCAAGGGGGCCCCCAGAAATGGATGGGCTTCACACATTCTACCCATGTTGGGCATCGAACCCGGACCTCCGGCGTGTGACGTGTGAACGCTTTAATCACTAAGCTACCCAAACACACGTGTGTGTGTGTGTGTGTGTGTGTGGCTGCTTGTTTTGGTCCGGACTGATGCCGATTTATAGTGCTAGCCCACTAGTGCTACCATGCCATGCCGCAACCCCTTATTGCCCAGCGCCAAGCAGGGTAACGACAAGTACCATCTTTTAACGTCTTTTGGTAGGATCGAACCCCGGACCTTCCGCTCTCCGGACGGACGAGCGATGTTGCAGTGAAGTTGTACCTGATACGACCACGTCCATGCGGTTCAGGTTGCAGATGTTGGCGAGCCCCACTGTAGCAAGCATCAGCACCAGGAAAACACGGCACACAAGCTGCATGGTGGATGATATCTCGCAGATAGCAAAATCTGGAACATGAATCAAAACGTAAAAGAGTTAAGGACCACCCGATTCTTTCATATTACTATAGACCGCCTCCGTGGTCTAGTGGTAGAGCGTCCGCCCGGAGAGCGGAAGGTCCGGGGTTCGATCCCCGACCGCGTCATTCCAAAAGACGTTAAAAGATAGTACTTGTTGTTACCCTGTCTGGCGTTCGGCATTAAGGGGCTAAAACAAGGACTGGCCGGCTCGGAGTCAGTATACTGTGAGTGGGGTATTCATGTTAAACTGCGGCATGGTATCTCAGTGAGCTAGCACTATAAATCCGCATCAGTCCGGACTAGTACAAGCAGCCACACACACACACACGTGCATGCACGTGGCTATATAAGTGCAATAATCTTGGACGCGACGTTAAACCCAAACCTCACCTCATATTACTGTAGTTCATCTGCCATGCCATGACAGATATTAATTTGAAAGAATCGTGTGGTCCTTAGCTTCTTGTGAGTACTATATATTGGGTAATGTATATTGTTAGATATCATGCAACATTAAGTGATTTGCATTGTATATAGAAACCTACACGGTCTACAGATGAGAGAATATGTGCTGCACAAGAGAAGCCAAGTAAGAAATATACTCGCATCGATACGGAGAGTAGCTTCACCATGCCTCAGCGGTATGGTGGCCGAGAGAGGACATGGCTTTCTCGCCTTCAGTTGTGGCTTTGAGAAAGCAACAAAGCGATAACACGAGACGAGAAAGCGATATCACGAGACGAGAAAACGATAGCACGAGACGAGAATTCATATCGCTTTCTCGTCCCGTGTTATCGCTATGTGATGTACAAACATAATGCAGGTATACGGACGGTAATATATTTTATCAAAGTTTATCCAAAATTTATTCTTGTGCTTTGCTTCAATGGCTCTGGTAAAGAAATAAATATATCTCGGAATACATTTTAAGGGATGATATTAGGAGAGATTCTGTATGGAGTTTGAAACCCCGGTCCTATTTCATGGCATATGCAACCAGCTTTGCTCCATGTTTCCTCTGCCCGTTCTTCCACGATGTCTCTATTCCTACTCCATTTCTTCCCAATTATACGCAGATGAAAACTTGGGCAATAGCCGTATCGGTATTAAACTGTATTGGCATTAATCACAAAATCTCGGATACAGTTTACAGTAATTGCTGGCATGAAATTAACATATAGAAACATTAAAGATTGAAGTCGACTGCTGTTTTCTGTAAAACCAAAGTGATAATTGTAATATTAAAATGGTTAATGGTAAAATGATAAACATAGTATATCTCAATATACAATAATTTCAAAATAATGTCTACAACGTACACGAACTTTCATATCAAACAGGCGCTTCCCTGCTTAGATGTTCCTTTATATTTGTCCAACAGTATATATACTCAATTAAAAAATAAAAGTAGCAGACACTCGGACATACCTGTGGTTCTTTAACACTGTGCGGCGCAGGACTTGGGGGACGCCGTTCGTGAAACCTACTGGAGGCAGATGGCAACCACAGCGGCAGGGGACCATATGTTCACGGACTAAGACGGGGGAGCGGCGTCACGACAGGATTATATTCAGCTCGATATTAATAAGTAAACATAAGTATGACTGTCGATACATCAATGGACAACCACTCTCTCGAATCTACATCTGGCGAGTTGTTCGATGATGCTTGAGATCTGAATCGCCACAGTGTTTCTGTACGCATACCAGAGCGCGTGGCGTAAGGCGGGGATTTGACGCATGTGTTGCGTTGTTATGTTATCTTAAGCCTTTGTTGTTGCCGTAAATGCATGCGTGTGGTATTGCACCTGGTGCCTGTGCCGTCACGCAGGGTGTAAGAACAGATGTTCATGTAAATGTGGCACTGGTACCTGGTTTTGCACAATCTGTCCGACGTCATTGACAATGGAAACAATGGCCCGAAGTACGAAACAAAAGAAGACTTAACTGAATCATCTTTCATTAAGAACAAATACTGGGTGAACTTGCATTCTAAACACCCGACTTCTGCAAATAATCGATTTGTTAACTACAACACACATAAATACAATATTTCAGTGAACTGCTGGCAAAGAATGTATATACACCAAGTTTAATGGTGACTATAAATGAAACAATTATTCAAAGGATGTCTTGACACAGGTATCATAGTCGTGTTTTAACCTTAAGTTGCAGTGTTTGGACCAAAGTTTTCAGCCTAATATCGTCTAATAGCGATCGTAATGTTTTGGTCAAATCCAATTTTCAATTTGAATTGTTGGATAGGCGTTACTTAGAAGTTGACGGATGACAACGGTAGAAGGATCTTAACCGAAACGTCGCCTTTAAAGTAAATAAAGAAGTTGTTATCCATAAATTGTCTCCACTTCGTCATCCAATTTTCAAGTGAATTTTTTTACCGGCAGTTTACGTTGTTAGATCTTAATACAGACATCGTACGGACAATCCCAAATAACACAACCCAAAGTACCTGTGTCAAAAATTATTTGCTTAACATTTAACGACGCCTCGATTACATGTGTCACTCAGCACAAGAAAGCAGCGGGTATTCTCATCTGCTATGGTACTGTATGAGTGTACCCGTGAAGATTCGGGGTTAGAATAGGTCTTCAGTAACCCATGCTTGCCGTATAAGGCGACTATGCTTGTCGTAAAAGGCGACTAACGGGATCGGGTGGTCAGGCTCGCTGACTTGGTTGATGCGTGTCATCGATCCCAATTGCTGAGTGCGGCGTTAAACAACCAACCAACCAACCAACCAACCAACCAACCAACTGTATGAGTGAGAGTCAAACCCGGTTATTTTGGCCATCCTGGGTCCACGTGGCTACTCAACGTCCGTGCATCAGGATAGAAGTCTAAGTTAGGTTTACCAACGAAAATACTCAAGTGACTATAATCAAGTCAGAAATAGTAACTTCAATCATAATTTTTGTCAAAGCTTTTTATTGCCATCTTATAAGGTACAGACATGACCGATTATTCAACTTATGTCTCATGAGAACCCTGTGCAGTTAAGTAAAATAGTCATTGTGTATGTATTTTATGATATATAACATTGCCGTCAAAGAAAACAAGCTTAGCGAGTTAAACATAAGCAAAAGTTAAAAAAACACACCAAAACAGTCGACCTTGAAGATTTCAGAATTGTTTCAGTTATTGTTTTTTCTCTCGATATTCAGGTAGTAGTTTATTAACTAGTCCGTGACTAGACTTTGAATTCAACATTTCGAGACAACCGAAGTCGACAGTATAACCAGTTGTTCTCAAATGCCACTGGACACAAGCATGATGTCAGATCTGTACTCTACAACACACAGGTCGGACCACAGATGTGTGTTCACAAAGCCCTACAACCAATAACCCTCGACGGTATTTCAAAACTATCATTTACGGGATTTCTCAGAATCAAACGTTTTAAAACTGAAATATACTTTTTGGTAATCAAAGTCACTTGAATGACATCTTGTAAATGCCTTCTTGCCTGCCAAGATCGAAATTATTTCAAAAACATAAATATCGATTTTATATTAATTGAAGATGTGGCTGTCCGCCCGTGGCATGCGAACACAACCTATGGTCCGTGTGTATGTTCTTCAGCGAAGCCCTTGTGCATTTCGGGCCGCGATGACCCTCCTGAGCTCAGCTTCAAGCTCTTCCTCGGACAATGTCGTGAGGTCCGGGGGATGTTTCTGGGCGTAGTTCAGCTTGTACATACTCTCTAGTACCTTCCTCATGTGCGTGTTGCGTTCTATCATACAATCAGACGCATCCACGTTCAAACCGAACTCAATCAGGGCATAGTCACAGTGAGGCAGTACGCGGACACACTCAGTAGGGAAGCTCCTGCAAGGTGAAATGTATATACTATTATTAGTTTGATAGTTACTGTGTACGTGACACACTCAGTGGGGAAGCTCTTCAGGGTGATATATAGAGACTATTGCATTGGTAGTCAGTGAGGCAGTAGGAAGTCACACTCAGTGGGGAGGCCCCTGCTAGGTGATATATAGAAAGCATTACATGGGTGGTCACAGTTTACGTGACACACTCAGTGGGGAAGCCCCTGCAAGGTGATATGGAGAGAACATTGCATGGGTAGTCACAGTGTACGTGACACACTCAGCTCATGCAGGGTGATATATGGGGAGTATTACATTGGTAGTCAGTGAAGCAGTGGGTAGACACACTCAGTGGGGAAGCTCCTAGAAGGTGATATATAGAAAGGATTACAAGGGTAGTCACAGTGAGGTAGTACGTGACACAGTAATATAAACATCCCTGACCTGCAGAACTGGAGCTCGTTGTTGCCGCTGCATGTGACGGTGGTGTCGCAGGTGTCCATGTCATCGTTCTTTCCCAGGGGATACTTCAGTTTGGTTCGTCCACAAACCTCCCCGTTGTCCTCTGATGTCAACAAAAGCAGACTGTATAGGTCCTTATACACGTTACACACCATCTTCTACCATCCAGGGGATTATATCGCCATTCCATCAGGATTAATACCCTGAACACATTAGCTGTCGTGGATTCCTTCGAGGAGTGACCTCATGATCTTAAACTGTCTTATTATTCAATACCTTCGAACAAGAATTGTCTCGCAAAGGTATTTTGATTGGACGGCTATTTTAGCGCCATGTCAGTGGAAATGACCCCCCAAAACGTAACTATGGTAGCGAATTGGTTCATTTTATTTGCGATGGTACAAATGACTACTGGATAATTGAGAATGACGACAACATAAGCATCCAAAATCCAGAGCACATTAGTACAGACCCCGGGCCCAATGTTATAAAGCGAGTGTAGCATTACTATCGTTGGTCTAGGTGAAAGTACGGGCGTCTTAAGACGGAGAGCAACATTGTTTCATGTTTTGGTTTGGTGTTGATGGTGCGAATCCTGTCAGAATCGTTAAGAGGAATAGATGACTTTAAATGCCTCCTGTGAAAGTTCCCAATGATAACAAGATGCATACATGTGTATATAACATTATCCTGAAAATAGCACATTATCTTTAACAATACACTATGGATGTTCCTTCTTGAAATGAATTATAGTTCATAGGAATGTATATTTGTGTGGTTTATGCCTGGTTGACACGGGAATAGCTGAACACTGGCATATCTAATATTCAACTTTATAGGAAGCAAGTTGATAAATAAAGGAAAGGCATTCGTTAAATCAAAGTGCCGCGTTACTTGCAATTCTTAATCAATCACATTTTGATGTTGAATGATATACAGTTTTTTGTATCAAAGATGAGTATATCAATAATACGTTTTAACCATGATCAGATTGTAATGTAACAAGAAAACATGGCTGAGATCAGCTCGTGCTATTTAAATTTTGATGGAATTACTGTGACAAAGGCCACACAAAATAGCCTACTTAAACTTTTTGAACCATCCTCGTGATCTTGAGTTTCTTTCATCATCACCACAACTAGACTTATTTGAGTCTCTCTCATCGTAACCACAGCTAGACTTGAACATCTCTTCGATTAGCCTTACCAACATATAAGCCATTCTCAACATGTCTATACACAATACAACTATTCCACAAAAAGGTTCAGTGGTAACTGACATTTCAAACTGTCACGTACGAATTAATATGTTACATAATCCGAATCATGCATAAAACCACCAACATTGTGTCAGCACCTGTCTGGTGCAAATATAACCTGTACCTACTGTGTACAAATACATCGAAGAACTCCAGTGAACACTCCGCGGAGACTCTGTATGTCCCTTCCAGCAGCAGCATCACCATGACGACAGTCCACAGCTTCATTGTGGAAGATAGAGATGTCCTGAAACAGTAACAACACATTACAGGTGACTCCCCGCACGGTTAGTGTTGATCTAAACATTAAGCCTTGTTCCGCATTGCGCATTGTCTATGGTTTGCGCCCCTGTGTCCGGCTGAAGTCAGCAACATGTCTTTAGCCTTGTAAATCCTATTAAAGACTGCAATATTGCACATTGTAATTTGAGCCTAGAGCCTAGTGTTACCCCGAGAGAAACCAATTTTAACACTTAAAAAAGAGACTTTAAACGGTACTATTAAAAGACGAGTGATGGGCAATATGTCAGCCATACAAAAAAGTAAAATAGTGTCATGTACATGTCATTCAGGAATACATAAACATTATCATGTACATGTAATGCAGGCATACATATATAAACATTGTCATGTACATGTCATGCAGGAATACATAAACATTGACATGTGCATGTCATGCACGAATATATAAACATTGTCATGTACATGTCATGCAGGAATACATAAACATTGCCAAGTGCATGTCATGCACGAATATATAAACATTGTCATGTACATGTCATGCAGGAATACATAAACATTGTCATGTGCATGTCATGCAGGAATACATAAACTGCATAAAATATTGAATATGCATATCTAAAATGCTTGTGGAATACTGTAAACATTTCGTCAGTAATATTCCAAGAATGTAAAATATAATAGTCTTTGAATGGCATTTAGAAGTGATACACATAAGGAAGAGATTTACTTCCGTTTGCACTTCGTGCAGTGTCAATTACCAGTCAGTGATAATTTAAGTCCTGGCTTCCAGTTGTCCATTGCTAATCACCTATCAGCGCCAATTAACTGTTGGCTTCCCTTGTTACGCTTCCACCTTTTGCTATCTCATTACTTTTGTTGTTCTTGCAGGTACATGTATATGTTCTCTGCTTCATGGCATTTATTCACCTGATGAAGGAGTAAGTATATACTCCGAAACGTTGTGTTCCTCTTAATAAAGAAGTTAACATCCATAACTTCTCTTCCAAAAACTATGATGCATCGCTAAAGTTACAGAGGTAGTGACAAAAAGTCACTGAGAAGAAGCGCTATGGCGGACATACCTTCTGGTTGATCGAGGTTGGCTGTGTGTGTCGCTTACAGCAGGAAGAGCATCTCCACGTTAGCTAATCTCTCGCTACAATCTGTTGTCGGGATTAGATTTGACAACAATCAATGTGGACATATGTGGCAAGAAAGTATCAAATATGTAAATATTCTAGGGAGGGTATTAACGTTAATCAATGGCATGCAGCTTAGGAAAATACTCATAACGACGGTTTGGGTCGAATCTTGTACATTCTTCCAACAAAGGTTAGATGTAGCAGACTCGACCTACACGCTTGTTATAGGATTACACAAGCGCATGTTATAGGGTATCATGGCATCTTGTTATAGACTGACCTGACCGCGTGTTACAGGCTGATCTGACCGCGTGTTACAGGCTGATCTGACCGCATGTTTCAAGCTGATCTGACCGCATGTTTCAGGCTGATCTGACCGCATGTTACAGGCTGATCTGACCGCATGTTTCAGGCTGATCTGACCGCATGTTTCAGGCTGATCTGGCTGCATGTTACAGGCTGATCTGACCGCATGTTTCAGGCTGATCTGACCGCATGTTTCAGGCTGATCTGACCGCATGTTTCAGGCTGATCTGGCTGCATGTTACAGGCTGATCTGACCGCATGTTTCAGGCTGATCTGACCGCATGTTTCAGGCTGATCTTACCGCATGTTTCAGGCTGATCTGGCTGCATGTTACAGACTGATCTGACCGCATGTTTCAGGCTGATCTTACCGCATGTTTCAGGCTGATCTGGCTGCATGTTACAGGCTGATCTGACCGCATGTTTCAGGCTGATCTGACCGCATGTTTCAGGCTGATCTGACCGCCTGTTTCAGGCTGATCTGAATGCATGTTTCAGGCTGATCTGACCGCATGTTTCAGGCTGATCTGACCGTATGTTACATGGACATCTTTATAGGTTATATTCTGTAACAGAACATTCTACGTCTTATATTCTAAGGTTTTGAGGATTGTACAAATGTATCATGTGTCGCCGAACCTGAGGTCGACTGTGACACATCCACACAACATACAATGCGGATACATGCTGGCTACACAATTTGAAACATTCACGTGAATGTCAAAAAAAGGAAAGATCGTTCCAAATGTAAATTATTGAAGTGTTGCCTCGCTATAATGAACAACTGACAACCAACTGTCCATTCCTGAAATATAACAATAGAATAACGTCATAGATATTTTAAATCTGTATAGCCAAAACTCTCATTATCAGATTTTAAACATTATGATGGGATATGCTGCCGTCCTTATATCAGCCTCCTCAAAGTGATGGTATCTTATGGTGTGAATAAATGAGTGAGTGGGTATTTGAATATTAACGTCCAAACATCTTTTATAGTTTCCACAGACGTTCATGTAGACAACCCTTCAAACAAGTGTCCTGACCCCATTATCTAATTGTTGTGTACGGAAGGTCATCAGGGCCATGACATGTTTTATTGTCTTGAAAATTCAAGACGCTCAGTTGAAAACTTCAAAATACTTGTTTAAAAAACAAACAAAAAACAAAGCTGAAAACTTATCCTGAAAATATAAGCTATAATGTTGAAAATTATGGTATACTATCTTGAAAATTCAAGTTTTTAATTGTAAATTAAAAATAAACTGAAGTCATCAAATAAACTGCCCAAAGCTTTACTTTCCACTTTGTAACGAATCTGTTGCCACATAAGAAAATGAATTTTCAAGAGGGCATCTTGAATTTTCAAGATATATTTTTTTAAAGCGTTGCCCTAATGGGCTTCCGTAACTGTTTGTTCATTTTAAAACCGGCGTTTGTAAGCGATCAAAACATTTCTCATATCTACCCGAAATTACCTTTGAAGTTTCCTTTTCCAAATGAGCATCTATTGACGCTGTTTGCTCTGTCACATCTTTACAGTACGTATAGAATGTATTTACTGCATTCCTGAGATTATGTTACCGTGCATAGGTGCTGTTGTCTTATATATATGCACTTGAGAAATACAGAAAGTAAATCTCCTTTTCTTCCTCTGGGCAAAAGTAATGCATTTTTTAATTATTATTTATTTGCATTCCAACAAATGTGTATTTTCAAATGTTCATGATATTTCGTAGTTTTATATATATTTTCACACGCGACGGTTATTGCCTCGAAACATTTCAGCAGACCCAACACCGTATAATTTCAAACACGGTAGACGTGAATGAAAGGATACCATTTCGCCGATAAACGAGCTCAAAATTTAAAATGGCCGCCTAAATGTTTAAAAGGTCGCCACATGAATCGATTTGATCGTCGCTGAGAAGTAATGACGCGTTCACGAATTCGTTCTTCCGCGATTTACGGCGAATGTCGGTTTAAAAGTGAGAATCGATCCCGAAATCGCTGGTTGCGATCGGTTTTCGAAAGATTTCGCGACGTTTCACAAAGATCGATTTGAAAATGAAGTTAACTCGATTGAAGAGCTCCATAAATTCTGATCTTTCCAAATAATGATGTACGTACTTCAATCAAGTTGATTAAAAGTATTTTGGCACTGCTCGTTTTTCCAAAATATGGATCAAGACGAATTGACCCAAGGTAATCATGACAAGCATTACACTGTGAAGATCCGGGGTAGAATAGGTCTTCAGCAACCCATGCTTGCTGTAAAAGGCGACTATGCTTGTCATAATAGGCGACTAACGGGATCAGGTGGTAAGGCTCACTGACTTGGTTGATGCAGGTCATCGGTATCCCAATTGCGTACATCGATACCCATTGATGTCAATCACGGGATTGTCTGGTCCAAACTCGATTATTTACAGACCGTTGTCAAATATTGCTGAGTGCGGCGTTAAACAACAAACAAACAAACAGTGTACACAACAGGGCCCACTTGCACAAAGCGATCTTAGCGCTAAGACTATTGTAAGCCTATGCTAAAGTATGGGAGTTACGATCATCTTAGCGCTAAGATCGCTTAGTGCAAGTGGGCCCATGAGGTTTTATCCATTTTTCACAGCTGGATATTCCATCGCATCAAAATTACGAGTAGTTATAATTTTCAGTCTTAAGGTCACTGTTACTCTCTGAGTCAAGTATAATCTTACATACTGCGACTAGACTGAGGACCACTCACACTCGCAAGAACAGAAATGCATGAACTAGCTCGAGGTATTCAAATTGCCTTATACAGATCGAAGGTAATTTTAAGTTTACAGCTGAAAACGAAACTACGTTCTCCGCACTCGTGGATCGTTGATGGAATCACTCGAAAGCCGTGGGTGGTTTATTAAGAACAGTTTTCTACACGATTGAAATAGTTCGTATTTTGTCTTAGTAAAATCATTTTAATCATTAAAAATCCGTCTTTAACGCCGGCAATGTACACTTTGATATCGACTCAGTTAGTTGTTAAACATTCTGTAACTAATCACAATGGATATGACAAAACAGCTTCAGCCTCCATGAATACGAGATGTACTGCGTCAAATTTCCATACATATTGATGTGGACATCTTAACAAGATGCTGGTAATCCTCTTAACGCTCTCTAAACAAGCATCTGTTCCCACATGTCTGCGGAACTTGAAGTGTCAAAAGGCACAACGACGTCATTGTTTTAAGGTCGATTTTAGGTCAATATACCAGCAAAAGTATTGCTGTTAATGTAAGAGGCGGTCGTGTAGCTTAGTGGTTGAAGCGTTTGTTCATCACGCTGAAGACCCGGGTTCGATTCCCGACATGGGTACAATGTGTGGAACCCATTTCTGGTGTCTCCGCCGTGATATTGGTGCAATGTTGCTAAAAGAGGCGTAAAAACATACTCACTCACTCACTCACTCACTCACTCACTCACTCACTCACTCACTCACTGTTAATGTACACTTACTGATAACAATACGTATGTTTCAACAAACTTTTCTTTAAGTTCATGTCTAGTTATGTACACCATGGCCTGCGAGTGGGAAGGGTTTTACGTAGTAAATTGCAAAGGAAGTGGACATTCTGTGACAAACATTATGGTGTAATTATAACGTCGCTCGTCAAAACGATTGCCAAACATGTAAATATTGATTCTAACAAAACTTTCCACTTTGGGCCACTATGGGCCGTAATAAATGTAATAATGTCAATGTAGTACATTGTTTGAGTAGTTCATTGCAAGTGTATTTGGTCTGTTGAGTGTATATTGGTGACAGCCAGTTGAACGTGATAGGGGTCCAAATGGACACAGAAATGGAAAAGAACGAGTACCTAGCAGTTATCAAGATTTTGACTTGAGAGAAATATACTCCTGAAGAAAGTCATGAGCGCATGTCCCAAGCGCATGGGGATAAGTTCCCTAGCTCTTCCACTGTTGAGCGTTGGGCAGCTGTTTTAAGACTTGGAGAACAAGCCTTGATGATGACCCTAGGTCTGGACGTCCCTCAATTTCCATGAATGAAAATTCAATCAAGAAGATGGAAAAACGTATACTTTTAGATAGATGTACTACCATTCCTGAACATGAGGAAGACACATGTCTGAGCCATGGGTCCACTGAAACTACTATTTATCAACATTTACAGATGAATAAGATATCTGCTTGTTGGGTGCCAAAGTTTCTAAACTCCGATGATTAGGGAAAAAAGACTGACATCTCCTGAGAGATTCTATCAAAGAAAAGCGGCGAGGAATGCTGTTCTACTACTTCATGACAATGCCTCTTCTCACACTTCTCGACTTGCAAAAGCTGCTTCGCGACAATGTGGGTTCGAAGAACCTCACTCTCCATACTCGCCAGACCTGGCACCAAGTGATTTCAACCTGTTTCCTGAACTGAAATAACACCTTCGTGGAAAGCGCTATGATGACAACGATGACCTCAAAGCTGCCTTGAATGGCTTTTCAGGGTGGCTTCAGAAAACTTCTTCCTGACGAATTGAAAAGCTTTACTATCGATATGAGAAGTGAATTGAAAGGCAGGGAGGTTATGTTGTAAAATAAACTTATA